TTCCTTTGGTAAGAACTTCAGTCTTCTTGGTGCCCATATTTCACTCCTTGATTTATTTGTTCATTCAAGAACTATTTAGTGAATGTTTACTATGTACTAGGCACTCTTCCAGGCACGGAGGATACAACAGTGAACAAAACAGTCAAAAGTAAATCATTGCTCTCATGAAGCTTATATTTAGTCACTAGGATCTAGTGACCCTTCCACTCTCTACCAGCTATGGCTAATAAGCCCCTGCTGACCCCTTCCCTCTCTGTCCTTCCTCTGCCTCCCACTTCATTCCTCCCCAAGCAGCAATCTAGTTACTGCCCGAAATGGCTTCTCTGAGTCAAGTGAATTCTGCTTTCTAACCCCATTCCTGCACTCCAACAATTTTCTCACTGTCCCATATGAGTACATCCATGTGCCGGTCCTCACTCTTGGAACACCATCTCTCCTCTGAGCCTCCAAATTTTGACTCAAATTCCATAATCAAGATTTCGCTTTCTGACTGTTCCTTTACCAGGTCTTCCCTGTACTATTCTCATTTACACTTGATGGCAAGTTCCTTTAAGTATTCATGAGTTGTTTCATAGGGCTGTGCTTGCTGCCTTCAGCTAAATTAGATAAATACAAAAGTCCAAGCTATAAATGAGTCAGTGAGGTGGAGTAGAAAGGGTCTTGGACCAACAGTTGGGTGACCTAGCTTCTCCTCTGGCTCTGTTACTACCTAGCATCTGATCTTTAGCCAGTCACCTAACTGCTTCAGACTTGAATTTTCTCTCTCACTGAAATGAGGACGTTTGACCAGACACATGGGTGGTCTCTTCAGGTTCCCTGGCAATTCTACAATTCTATTATTTTTAATTCTACAACCACTCTTTATAAACCTAGGCAAATTATTGAGCTTTTCTACCTTGGTTTTCTTATATTGAAAAGAAGTGATTAAGTTCAGAGATACAGTATAAGAGAAAGTAAATACTGATACAGTGTATTTGAGAGAAAAGAATAGTTTGATTGAAATTGTATCTCATAATTTAGTTCAAGGAAAGTAGATGCCATCTGTTTGACATGCGTTATCACACTGCATTTTGACCAAGAGGTATAAGAAAGAGAAGTAAATACTCAGTGGTAGCTGAGTGCCATCAAACAAAAGATTAACCGCTTTAAGTGGGAGAAAAATAGAGTGAAAATTTTCTACTTACGTGTATACATACACATACACACGTGCGCACACACACACACAATCACTGATGACATGCAACATCAGGATGGTGATTCGTCAAATAAAGTGTTTCTCATTCTAAAATATTCTATATCTACAAAACTTGGATTTTTGATTTTGAAAATATGAATAATTTGAGAAGTGATCAAGCGCATAAGAAACGTGTATGAAGATTTCAATTTAATCTGCCACCAGATTATATTTTCCAGATTATATATATTATTAACTATGAGAATCACGTATGCTGTCCACATAATTTCAGCAAAACTTACCTTCTGTGCGATTGTTACACTCGGGGGAAAAACTTGTAGGGGGAAAAACTTGTAGATATTATATAAAGATAATCCCTTTTATGAAATTTTGAACATTAATTTGAGACGTGAGGACACGAACATTATATAGTCCACAGCAGCAATAAATCTCTTAGAAAGTACTTGGTATTAGAAATTAGAATAATTAGAGGTCTTGCTCTAATGGAGGACGAAGAAAGAGCAAAAGAAAACAAAGTCTTTTTACCTTTGAGTGAGAGAAAAATGCTACTTGGATGTTGAGTATCTCCAACCTTCCTTTTCTTTTTCTTTTTCTTTTTTTTTTTTTTTTTTTTTTTTGGCCGTACGCGGGCCTCTCCCATTGCGGAGCACAGGTTCCGGACGCGCAGGCTCAGCGGCCCAACCGCTCCGCGGCATGTGGGATCCTCCCAGACTGGGGCACGAACCTGTGTCCCCTGCATCAGCAGGCGGACTCTCAACCACTGCGCCACCAGGGAAGCCCACAACCTCCCTTTTCTTATTCTTGGGATGTTAATTATGTTTGAAAGTTGGAGTTCATGGCCCATCTGGAAAAAAAGTGTTTACTTCTCTTTGGGCTTAATTCTCTTTATTTAAAGCCCCATAGCTCCCATTTTATTTCTGCAGTTCCTTATTATTTCTGCATTCTTACCTTTCCTTTCTGTATGCTTACATGCTATCTTTTTACACAAGGGTACCAAAGATATAGAGGGATATATTGTTAGTTTCATAAAGGAAGTCAAAGTGAAAAATGACTTCAGTATAACACATCTTGCTTTAAGAATAGATGCCTTTCAGAGTAAAGTTTTATTAAGGATTTCAAACTAGGCATCAACTGAATCATACTTGAGGTATCGGTGTCTGGAGAAATAACATTCACTTTAGCAGCCCTATGATTCTTAGAGTCCTGACAGTGAAGAGTTTCTTAAAGCCCAAACTATATATCCCAACACACCTAAAGGTTCTGCATTTTACCTAAACCTTACAAATTATAGAAATTATCTGCTTATTAAAGATCGGTTATTCCATTGTTAAAAGCTAGTAACCCCTAAGCTCTTGTCTTCACTAATAAAGATTAATAGAAAATGGAATAGAGGCTAAGTGTGTAGCTTCAAACCTCCTCTTTTATTCTCTGTTGAGTAGGTAGTGGTAAATAGAGTATATTTGCCAATTAGCAGGAAACCTTTTTGCTCAGGGATCCAAAACATTTGGTGAAAACCATGAAGGTTAAGGATTTCCTCATATAAGGGAGGTTTGTAGTTTCCATTTCCCATATCTAGATATGACAGCTCAAGTTATGTGCCTCAGCAGGTGTCTTTATACCTTTGTATCTCAGTTCCCACATTTGCAAAACAAGCGAGTTGAATAATCTCTAAGGTTCCTTAAAACCGGGGGGAAAATGTCATCACAAATACAAAGAAACATGTTCAGGAAAAACCCCAAATACAAACATAGGTTAATCATTTAGAAATATTTGGTATGCAATCTTGAAAATAAAAATAGAGCAGTTGCTTTCAACAAATACACTAGAAACGTGTCTTGAATACACTTTCCAAGCTTAGCGTGGCCAGAGAAAATGTTCTCTGAGCTCAGAGCGTTTCATTACATCTAGATCTCCTTCAAAATCATGTCACTGACAAATAGCACCTTTGCCCTGTGGAGACTGACAAGTAATGTTTAGGGCACATAGGAAATACTTCAAGAAATTCTTCCTCAGAGAATGGTCCTGGAGCTCACCTGCTGAGTTGTAAAGATTCTTGTTCAAATTACAGGAATTCTGTATCTGTGAATCTGTTTCTGTTTTGCATAGCCTTTTCTTTTTTTTTCTTTTTTTTTTTTTTTTTTTTTTTGTTGGGTCTCTGTTGCTGCACGCAGGCTTTCTCTAGTTGTGGCGAGCGGGGGCCACTCTTCGTTGTGGTGTGCGGGCCTCTCACCACGGTGGCTTCTCCTGCTGCAGAGCACGGGCTCTAGGCGCGTGGGCTCAGTAGTTGTGGCTCCAGCGGCCATGGCTCACGGGCCCAGCCGCTCCGCGGCATGTGGGATCTTCCCGGACCGGGGCACGAACCCGCGTCCCCCGCATCGGCAGGCGGACTCTCAACCAGTGCGCCACCAGGGAAGCCCTGCATATACTTTGATTTGTGTTATTTTTTAGATTCCAAACTTGTGGTTACCAAAGGGGAGAGGGAAGAGGGGAGGGACAAATTAAGGGTATGGGATTAACAGATACAAACTGTTATGTATAAAATAGACAATCAACCCAGATATATTGTATAGCATGGGAAATTGTAACCATTATCTTGTAATAACTTATAATGGAGTATAATCTGCAAAACTACCAACAAAAATACCAAATCACTATGCTGTACACATGAAACTAATATAATATTGTAAATCAACTATATACTTCAATAAAAAGTTTTTTGTAAAGTACTGAAACTCTGGGCATGGAACCTAGGAGTCTTTACTTTAAGCAGGCTGCTCAGATGTTTCTTAGGCACACTAAAGTTTGAGAACCATGGCTTTAGATCGGATATCTTTGTGTTGTTTTAAATCAGGAGCCGTTATCTGACTTTCTCCTCTCCAACTCCTACCCAGTGTCCTCAGTCTTTTATAAGCTTTTTGTATAAGTTTTTGTCCTCGTATCACATCTTTGCTTTCACTCTCAGGCTTTAGCAAGGAAAAGAAAGTCATTTGATATGTACTTAAGGTGATCAAACATTCAGGAAAGTGACTTAACTCCATGCCTTAGAGATGAGTAAGGAAGGCCCCCTCATCCCGGTATTTGAGAGCTTTTTGTCACTCGTGATCCCAGGTCCTTCTTCTGTTCCTCTGTTAACTCTCTTGACTGTCCTGTATCCCTAGCTCTTCACAGCTTCCCTATCTCACGCTATGGAGTTTCTCTTAGATCCTTTAGAACTGAATTCCCTGGGTCTCAGCGCTCTTTTTTTTTTTTCTCTCTCTCCTAGGGGACACAAAGGGTTTCATGGACCCGCTAATAATTTAGTCAGGGCCATTTCACCTGGACGGGGGGGGGGGGGTGGGGGCGGGGGGCGGC